TGGTAAGTTTCCAGGAAATCAAGAGAAAGAGGTTGACCAATCAGCCAGGATGAACAGAGTAATTAAATATTGAGTTTTGGGGCTAGACATTGCAAATAAGAATTTCTTTTATTTGGTTAATCATACTATCATTAACTGCTAATATACTATGTTTTTTATATATATTGTTGTATTCTTAAATCAGCTTAAATCAGATTTTTGCCTTTTTGCCTTTGAGTTGTTACTTTTACATTTTAATATTTGTCTGTTTTATTTGATTCATTAAGAGTTTTTCTGCCACGCATAAGAAATATGTTAATCATCTGAAGTTATGCTAAACATTATACTAAACAGCCATCCTACATTACTTGCTTCTATGCTAGAAATAGTCAATAAATGTCTATTGTCTAAAATTGGCCTGGGTTTAATATCTCCTTGACATAACATACCATAACATTAGAGATGAGAACATAGCAGAGTTTCTAAATGTCTATGATAGGAGTCCTCACACTTTTTAAACAGAGAGCCAATTCATTATCCCTCAGACTTTTGGGGGTCCAGACCAGCTGGGGAGGGCATGGCTATGTGGTCATGTGACTGGGTGGGTGTGGCCAATTTAGCAGTCCATTTTGCGTTGTCCTTCCTAAGCTGTACTTGCTCAACCCAAGGCATCTATTTGTTTAATAAGGAAAAAAAGAGTGCAAACTTTCTTGCCACTTGTCTGACTTCATTAGAACAGCAGCTTCAGGTTCCTTAAAATAGATTCTCAGAGTCATCCAGGTCATGGTTTTCCCAAAGGTGCTTTTGCAAGGGACAACTGGACTTTCTTTGTTTTTCTTTGAAGACATTTCATTGGATGAGAAGCGAAACGTCTTCGAAGAAAAAGAAAGTCCAGTTGCCCTTTGAAAAAGCACCTTTGGGACAGCGACAGTGTGAATATTAGGGGCGGAATACATTTCCACCATCCTGTTTACCAGATCTTGAAAACAAAAATATACATGGGAAGGATACAACGATATGGATTTATTTTCCTTGATGGGAAGGAAACCAAAGGATGTTTGATAAATCATATTTTTAGTGGCAAAAGTTTACAAAAAAATAACCATAATTAGCGTGCAGAGCTCTCTATTTCCAGGTAAGGCTCCCTCACCTGGCGCTTGGTAGGAGGCAGTGGCAATTGATGGAAAGTCGAAGCACCTTTTGTGTCTTTGGTTTGGAAACAAAGCTCTTCTTTCTAAAGAATGGTAATCCAAAACAGAAATTTTCCAGCCTCAAATATGCAATGGGAAATCAATCTCAGTCTTGTATGGATTGCACTCTGTACATGGAGAAGACAATGAAGGAAATCTTAAGGCAAAATTGGAGGATTGAAGTTGATGGACAAACCTCAGGGAGTTGTAAAATACGGTGTGTAAAAGTATTACAAAAGTTCTGAAAGCTGCCTATTCTCTTGTGAAGCTTTGCGCTCTCCATCTGTCAATCATCATCCCCCTCACTGTTAAAAGTCAGAGGGCTGGGTGGTTACTTGAGCTACAGGAAAACATGGATCCAGTTTGGCCTAGTAGTTAAGGCACTGGGATAGAAAGTGGGAGACTCTTGAGTTCTAATCCCACCTTCAGCACCAACACTGGCTAGGTGGTTTTGGACTAGGTGATAGTTAGTTTTAGTCCCTTTTGGACCAGCCCCTACGTGATTGTGAGTGCTAATCCCACCTCAGGACTGAAAGCCAGTTGGGGGACTTTAGGCCAATTACCAGGAGACTGTGAATTTTAGTCCCGCCTTAGCCATGAAAGCCAGCTGGGTGGCCTTGGCCAATCATTCTCATTCAACCCAACCAGGGGTGGAAAGAACCGGCAGCAAGCCACCTCTGAACCCAACCCACCTGGGAGAGGTGGTGGTGTGGGGAAAATAGGAGGAAGGAGTATTGTGTGTCTTCCCTGCCTTGTGTTATTTGTAAAAATAATAAAGACGGGCTAAAAAAACTCAATCAATGAAACCAAATGCCAGCAATAAGTTCTCTTTCTGATCATTCGCAGCTGTTTTAGAAAGACACTAAGTTAAGGTGACCAGACGTCCCGCTTTTGGCGGGACAGTCCCGATTTTTAATAATTTGTCCCGCGTCCCGTGTCGTTTTAAAAATGTCCCAATTTTTGTAGAAAGGGTGCCCCACCCCTTTTGACTCCACCACATGGCTTCCTCTTGCAAACATTTTCACTCATTTTTCCAAGTCTATCTTTGTCTATAGTGGCTGTGCGCCGGGAGGGCGGCCTGTGGGGCTGGAGGTTGCGCGGCGNGGTTTGCTTGTAGGGGCAGTTTTAGTCCTCTGAAGCCTCCAGGGAAGGCTCCTGAATGCTCCGGAGGGCAGCCCTACAAGCAAACTGGAAGTCTGTTCCTGAACTTCCGGTTTGCCTGTAGGGTCGATTTTTTTGTGCTCTGGAGGGCAAAAAATGGCCTCAAGAAGGCCGAAGTGAGCTGGCCAGTGTGCGCATGTGCGCTGGTCAGCTGACAGGGCAAGCCTTGCGTGCCCTGAAAAATGGCTCCGCGTGCGACCTACCTGCTAAAGTACAGAGATGTTTTGCAGTTGAAATATTAAAGAAATAGAAAACATGAAATGATAATCTAAGGCTCAGCTAGGAGTAGCTTCAGAGCAGCAACAATTCTACATCAGGCACAACAAACACTATCCCAGACTCCACAGAAGAAGTTGGTTCTAATTTGGCTTTTTCCTTAGAGCCCACCTGTTGAAGACATCTAGTTGTACCTTAAATTTTTCTCAAATTCCTGGGTGTCAAAGGAAGCTCTTGAAACTGACTTGAATGAACATCAGGGGAAAATGAAAAATGAAATCAAAATAAGCAAAACGTTGCTCCTTTATGCATTGAATCCATCATTTTCAGTTAGTTATTAAATGTATAAGTCAAGTTAGATTTAAATATGTGAATAGCCTTTCAGTTATATATTAGAAGGCTCAAATTTATCTATGGGGACATTTGGATGTTTTGTGATTTTAGTGGGGCACTACAGAAGATCATATATTCTTGGAATAATTAATGTATTTGAGACTCCAGATTTTGGCTTAACAGAATTTTCAGCTCTCAATCTTTGAATAGATTTTATATTGCCAGAATCAGATAATAGGACTCCATACAGTTTTGGTTTAATTTGTTGTTTAGAGGTTCTAATAAACTGTATAACTATGATTTCATTACCTTTGGACTACTAAGCAAATAGGAAATTGTATATTATACTCCAGCTTTTTTCTTTTAGTTAATCTTTCTTTTTTTCCCCCTTTTCCTTCTCTTTTAACCTTATTGTTTCGTTTTCTTTTCTTTTGTTTATCCACATAGATTTTTCAGTTATTCAGAAGTATAGAAGTGTAATATTCGGTGTTTGTTATTGTTTAAACAACGCTTAGTGAATATTGTGTTTTTAAAAATCCTTATTAAATCTTTCAATTCCCAGTGAATGTGACTATTGGGTGGGCTCCGGAGGTTATAGGAGCTGCAATCCAACATTTCTAAGAGAAGCAAGCTAGGGGCATGTGAAAGAAAGGATCAAAAGTGAGTCCTAAATCTAATTCATGAAAATACAGCAAGTCAGGCAAATGTTGGAAAACTCAGAAAGCTGCTGGTCGTAAGAGCTGGCATGGTCATACTCTGCTCAGTATTGAGGATGCAACTATAGAGGTGGTCAACAGTATTAAGTATCTGGGGGTGCAGATAACTAACAATCTGAACTGGTCTATCCATCCTTAGTGACGCATGCATCTGCATATCCTGCATGATGAGGAGAGCGCATCTTTCTCCTATACTAGCCACCTTTTACAGAGACACGATTGAGAGTGTTTTAACAAATTGCATCACTGTTTGGTTTGGTGGTAGCAGTGCCTCAGATAGAAAATCCATACAGAAGTGGCAAATTGTGAGATCACTGGGATTTCCCCCCCCAACCCAGGTATTTCCAGTACTATAACATTCAATCTTTCCTCTTTTTTTTGCTTGGTTTTATTCAGACCAATGTGGCTTCCCAGACCAAAGATCCACTTGCTGAAAAAGCCCTAAAGAACATTATCAAAGCAGAGGAAGTTCTCATGTAGACAGAACTGATGATAAAGCCCCATGTGGCGAGGTGGCGCAGTGGTTAGAGTGCTGTACTGCAGGCTACTTCAACTGACTGCTAGTTCGGCAGTTCAGCTGTTCAAATCTCACCGGCTCAGGGTTGACTCAGCCTTCCATCCTTCTGAGGTGGGTGAAATGAGGACCCGGATTGTTGGGGCAATATGCTACTCTGTAAACCGCTTAGAGAGGGCTGAAAGCCCTATGAAGCGGTATATAAGTCTAACTGCTATTGCTATGCGAACTGGGAGGAGTACCTGATGCCTGGGCCCACCTCCATCGCCATCTTAGGAGAGCTGGCTTGCATTGCTGAAGGACAAGGAGACTTTGCCATCAATCTTGCCCCACCCCAGGGAGGCTACAAATATATCAGGTATCCAGACTCCTTCCAGGCTTTCCTGATGCAGGTGAGCAACAGTGGTTGGCATGCCTTCAGCATTGCCCACAAGAATATGGACGGCATCCGGCTCCTTTCTATGAGCGTCCCTGAGCAAATCAAGATGGTCATCAAGACCTTATTCCAGGATGACCTTACCTTGATAGATGCCTTGCTCCCTGGACAACTGTCCAGCCTGAAATCGATTGCAGACGAATGTTCTTCTTTAGCTAAGGCAGTTGACAATAAGTTCAATGACGTCATCTCTCTGATTGGGGAACTCTTGGACGTGTGTGCGAGTTCCAAATCGCAGTACGAACAAGGGCTGGCAGAAACCAAACACGCCTTAGAAGACCTGAAACTAAGAAAGGAAGCAGCTGAAAAAGCCAAGGTGAAAGCAGAATGAATATTACAAGGAAATAAAGAATAGAATGACCGAAACGTTTGACGATTATAGAAAAGCGATCGATAGCATCCCTACCGGCTGGAATGCTGTAATTCTGGAATTCACTTCAACTATACAAGAAACCTTGACGGTGCCAATTGCCACTCTGACATCCTTGCCCAGCTTTAAGGAAAATGAGGAAGACTGTGGAAGTGAGGATGACTTTATAGCCATGAACAATATCTGTGCCCTGTCAGCTCAAATGTTGGCATTGGTGGACGCTCTTAAAACTATGGTGGATGACGAAGGTAACATTGACATGGATCTCCTCCACAATAAAAAACACAATGAAATCAAAGCCACTTGGACCAAAAAGAAATCTCAGCACCTGTTAGAAAAAATTAGAAAAGAAAGAAAGTGCAGCATGAAAAATTTGGCAGTGAAAATATGTAATTACATAATAGAAATTTCCAATATATTAATTGCAGTAGTAGAGTCAGGGAACATAAACAAGAAGGAACTGTTAAAGAAAGTGGATGTTCTCTCAGATGATATCATTATTTTCGATAGCAGAAGCAAATCCTGTCACCGCATATCCCCTTTTGGTCCCATGGCGCCAAATATGGCCAAATCCCAGAAAAACGTTCAAGAAGAGTCGACGTCGGCAGTGAAAAACAGTGTTTTGAAAATAGAGCAAACTAAAGAAATGCTGAAGATGAGCCAAGAAGAATACCAGAAAAGTTTCGACAACTTAAAGCAGCAGAATAAGGATTTGCTGGATGTGCTCAGTGAAATGAGGAAATGTGAAACAAAGATTGATTTTGAAAAAGCCAAACAGATGCTGATCAAAGGCCTGGATCAAAGGCCTGGATGCTGATCAAAGGCCTGGAAGAGTGAAGGAGCAGTGGGAGAAAATGGTGCGTTTCTTCCAGATGATCTCCAACCTCATTGACTCCTGTCTCAATAAACGCCTAACAGAATTTGTGAAATCCGCTGAAGATCTTCCCAAAATTCCGAATTACTCCCACAGAGACTTCGTCGTAGATATGATCTATAAGCAGGCCTTCAACGCCTCTAACATAGCTCACCTGGTGCACATGATATCCGATACCTATACTGAGGTGTCTTCAAAGTACCTGATGGATAAAGTGGGCAGCCTGAGTAGGCTGATTTCCATGGACCCTTCCGATCCCCAATTCCGAATGGAGCGTCTCAAACTAGCAGACGGCTGTGACAGTGCCCGAAAAGCCATAGAGGACCTGGTCATTAAGCAAAAGAAAGAATTCGAAAATAATATCCATGCCAGAGTGGCAAAAATCAACTCTGAGCTGAAGGCTGTCTTGCCGGAAGTGCCCGAAGCAGAAAGAAAAGATTGAACATAACCTGCAAAAAGGGATGTGTTCTGACCTAGGCTTCCTGATAAGGCATAAATCACACGCTTAGTCCCCAAACCCCTCTTTTATTTAAATGGCTGTGAATTATGGTCATTCACAGCCCATAACGATTCACAAACAGTCTGTGAAGAGTCCAACAGATGTCTGCCACAGTCTTTCAGGGTAATGCTGATAAGCAACCACCTTTACCTCCCTTGAAATGCTGCCAGAGACCTAATAGCCAATTAGTTTTGCAAGGCCAAACGGAGCACAGAGTCAAACCGAGCTTCAGAGTTTGAACCGACCAGGATGAACAAATTGCTTCCTGCAAAGGCTCATGTCTGTTTGCTCCTCTTTTATGTGTTATGGGAGGGGCCAATCATCTTCAAGCCTTGCTCCTGAGATGCCCCTTTTGTCTTAACAGTTCTTGCCTTCTGGCAACTCTGTGCATGCGCATGTTGGGAACAAACTCACAGTGTTCTTCTACCTCGCTGATGTCAGACTCTGGAGGCAGCACATCACTACCAAATGGCCTTGGGCTCCTCTCTGCCTCCGATGCAGAGCCCTCATCAGAGCCTTCCCCAGACTCCAGGACTGGCCCATGTTCCTCCTCAACCTCCTCACTGTCCGACTCTGCTCCCAGCTCTGCAGGCTGTTGTGGACTACAACAGGATGAGGGAAACCCAGGATGAAGCTGATCAATTTATGTAGAGTTGTCTTTCAACCCGCGAGGGAAATGGAGGCAGCCTAGTTTCTATTCTATTATTGTATTTCCCTCAATAGGGTGCGAATTAGGCCAGTAGATTGTCTTGTATTTGCTTAGGAAATGTCCTGAAAAAACCAAGAAAGAGCTGTAGAAATTGCAATTCAGGATACCAATGAAGAAGAATATTTGTAGCTCAAGGTTGAAATGAGGGGTCCTTGGTGTTCTCTGAATTTGGTTGTTTTCTTGCAGACATTTCAATACTGAAACTAGGGTAAGTATTGATGATGTTACTACTTATAGCAGTGATGGCTAATCTTTTCATTGCTGTGTGCTGAAAGTGCGCTCGTTCGCGCGACAACACATACACCCATAATGCAATGCATGCACCCCCCACGTGCCTGCGCATATGACCACGACTCCCTGCGTGCCCCCCACATATGCACATGTGACCACCAATGCTCCTCTTGCCTCCCACACATGCGCATGATCTGCTATGTGCGCCCAAGCCGCTGCGCATGCGTGGTAGGCCCCAAAACCAGCTGGCCGGCTGGAGGCGTGCGCACATGCGTGTTAGAGTTAAGTGGAGGCGACTGCTTGCATGCCCGCAGAGAGGGCTCTGCTTGCTACCTGTGGCACACATGCCATAGGTTCGCTATCAGTGACCTATAGGGTTTGAGTAATGTAACGTCTGGAATTAAAAACCAACATGCTCAGAGAGGACCAACGACCTGACATTCAGGATCCTTTCAATAATTACCTTGGCCAGCCATTTCCAAGATTGGGGCTCAAGTTCTCCCACATAAATATTATTTTTCCCCCCTCCTTTCTTGGCACAGTTACCTCTTCTCCTCTCATGTTTGGCCAATTTTTATGGACGGATCCCTTACTCCTCTCCTCTTTGAATGTTTCTAGTAGAAGAAAAGCTGAAGTATGTTGTGTGCTTCCATTTTGGTTATAGTTTGTGTATCTGTGATAGAGACAAGGGTTGGGGGGAAAAGGGGTTGGGATACGTACTGTAATATCAGTACTAAAAATCTGATGTCTAATTTTGACAAGAAATTAATTTCATTCTTTGCTAGTAATTCATTGTTATTACTCCTATTTTCATTGTAGGCTTCGCTCATTTTTGGAGTGAAGGAACAATCAAGTATGAGTTTGGAAGAAGGCGGGGCTTAGCAGTGAGAAGAC